GAAACATAACTATGGGAGGTGAACACACAATGTAAATATATATATGCCTTACTGTTAAAATGTACAGATGAAATTGGATTTCATTAACTAATGTCACCATAAAAAAATTAAAAAATAAAAATAAAAATTCTTGGTACATGAAATTTTTTTATTGTAAGTTTCTCTCTGGCAGCTTTTACGATCTTCTCTTCATCACTGATGTTCTGCCACGCCTTAGTATCGGCCTTTTTTCGTTTATTGAGCTGGATACTCAGTGGACCCTTTTCAATGCAGATTCCTGTCCTTCAAATCTGGGGATCTTTTCTTATATTATTTGTTTTATAATTCTCTCCCCTGTGTCCTGTTTTCCGTTTTTGTAACTTAATAATTAAATTTTGGACCTCTTGTACTAATGTTCTAGTTTATCATCTTTTACTTTCCATTTTCTATTTCTCGCTTTTTTTTCTGCATTCTAGAAGATTTTCTCAGCTATATTTTATAACCCTTTTACTACATTTTTATTTTAGCTATCATTCGTAATTTATACTCTCGTTCTCTGATTACCCTTTTTCATATCATCCTGCTTTTTCATGGATACTTCTTTACCTCTGAAGCTATTATCGGGTTTTTAAAAGTGGTTTCTTCTACTCTATGCAATGTTTTCCCCAAGTTCCTTTTTTTCTATGTTTGTTTTGATTTCATTCATATTGGAGGCTTTTCCTGGTGTCCTAAGCCCTGGACCTTTGCTCATTTTATTTATTACTTTATTATTTATTACTATTTATGCCTACAGCACCCGGTCTTCCTAGGTGGTCTCCCATCCAAATAGTAACCAGGCTCGACCCTGCGTAGCTTCCGAGATCAGACATCAGGCTTATTCAGGGTGGCATGGCCGTAGACCATGGACCGTGGCTCAACTGGGGTGTGAACCCAGGACATTCTGTGTGTAAAGCAGCCGTGCTAACCGCTACATTATGGAACCACATCCTCATTTTAAAACATGAGATACCCTGAAGCTAGTCGGAAGCTCTGGCAGCTGGGTTTGATCGGCAGGACTCACCACAAGGTGACTAACACACGAAGCCAGCTTTTCATGAGTGGGAGGTGCTGGTGGCAACATGCCAGTATCTCAGGGCCTTTTCTCTAGGTTGGAGCCATTCAAGTTCCTCCAATCTCTTGTTGAAAAGGTATAAGGCTGTTTAGCAATATGCCAAAAACACAGTAGAGTAAAGCCTAATCTTTTTATCTACATGTGTTAAGACTGGAGGGAGAGCCATAAAGAACAGCCTTTTTCTGTTCTCAATTGAAACACACACGCACTACTGTTTTGCACAGATTCACCAGTTTTCCATCTGTTTATAATTTATATTAAGAACTTCTTCCACATCATTAAAAGTATTTGAGAACCTCATATTGCATGTGAAATGAAGCTTTACCACATTTAATGTTAGCCTTTCCCTTTTTTGGACATTTGTATTGTTCCCATATTACTATTTTTCAAAGATGTCAGTTTCAAGAGAATCTTAATTTCCTTTATGTTTTTTTTTTCCTATGCAGGTTACATTCAGTATGCTGGAAATTTACAACGAACAGGTAATAGTGATTCTACATTTTGACACACAAATCTTAGCGACTCTGTAGCTTAATACACCTTAGGGGCTCATCTCACCTACCCTACAGGTAAAGTTCAAACTCCCAAGCCTGGTTTTGACCGCCCAGCCCTAACTCCCTCGCCAGCTTCATTTCACGTCCCTTATCTCCACATACTCTGTGCTTCAGCCTCGTAGAACTGTTCCTCCTTTCCAGAAAGTGTTTTTCCTACATCTATCCTTTCTCTGCCCTTAAAGAAACCACTAACCTTCAAGACCCAGCTCAAATGTCACCTCCTCTGTACATCCCGAGGCAATTGACTTCCTGGGGTTATACCGGGGTTGCCAAACTGTATTGTCAGGGGCTAAGTGGTAAATATTTTAGGCTCTGAGGGCCACGTGGTCTGTTGCAACTACTCATCTCCACCCTTGTAGCACAAAAGTAGCCACAGACTATGAAAATGGTGGGTGTGGCTATGTACCCATAAACTTTGGTTTTGGACCCCGGAACTTGAATTTCACATGATTTTCACATGTCACAAAATATTTTTCTTTTGATTTATTTAATTAATTTTTTTTTTAGTCATTTAAAAATGTAGAAAGACAGTCTTACCTCAAGGATCTTATAGAAATAGGTGGTGAGCTGAGGGCAGGGCCACAGGCCACAGACTGCTTACTCCTACGGTAGTTAGAGTGTGGTTTCAAACCCCAGCTCTCTCATCAACTAGCTCATGACTTTGGAAAAATCGCTATGTCAGAGCTGTTTGCTCATTAAGAAAGGAAGGAGTTTAGAACAAGACACTACGCATTGAGATGTACTAAGTTTTATATTTCTAACATAGTGCCTTGCAAACACTAGATCCTCAGCAAGTGTTTTCATTCTGCCCTTCCCCTTTGCAATAATTATATTACATCGTAAAATTTTATGTACACATTTGTATCTCCAAAACAGCTAATTTTCTTGTGATGACCTTTCTGTTTGCAACACTTAGTGCAGTGTTTGGTTTTAAATGGGTGCTCCCTAATGGTTGCTGAGAAGATGAATTGACAAAGGGATCTATAATTATAAGTTTCTTATGGGCAGAGCCCATATCCTAACAGTTTTTGTGAACCTCAAGCAATATGCGAAGCCTTGCACTTAATCAATCAATCAATAAATGTTATTGAAGAAATAAGTCTGTCAGTGTTTTTCTCTTTGTATTAAAGAGAGAAAATAACCATTTCTTACATGCTTTTATGAGTCATTTATTACAACTGAAGGTTGACAGTAAATACAAATGAATTGCTAAGGTCCCTGATTTTCTATTTCTTTCAAGTTGATGGGCTTGGAGGACAGTATGGCTCCTTTATTTCGTACCAGTAACGTTCAAAGAGCTACTTTATTTCCTCTATTACCAAGTTCTTAAGGGGAAGAATGGGGGAAAGGCAACTTGCTGTGGTCCCTATGACACCTATTTATGATGATCTCCCTGGAATTGTTTCCTTGTCTGTAAAATAAGAACACTGGACATCCTAAGATGGTTTTCATGCCTCACAGTGTGTGAGTCGCTGGTAGTTTGCCGTTAGGTACTTCCGCAGTCAATGAAAGCGAAGTTCATTAGACGCCTTTAATGTGTCAGATCATGCTAGACTCTGAGGGTGAAGAAAACCTAAAACATGATTCCTGCCATGGAGAAGTTCAGTGGAAGATATAACAACCACTCCAGACAGTAATGCATCATGTATGCTGTGGGAATGGTGAACAGAAAGAGACAAGGGGGTAACTAATACTGCCTGGGCTGTTTTGTGTTTGTCAAGAGGAGTTAGACTGGGCCTTGGGAGATCTAGTTCGTGAGCTTGGTGAGGCATGAGGCGGGTTGGGGGCGGTGCAGATAGGGGCGCGTTAGGCATTAAGTTCAGGAATATATAGAAGTGCATGGTGTTTACGGGAACAGCAGGCGCCCTGTGAAGCTGGAGTTGGATATGGGGGGGTAGGCAATGCGGGAGGTGGGGCGCTTCAGGAGATGAAGCCCAAGATAGGTTACCAAGAAGTGAAGAGCCTTCATCTAGCAGGCGATGGAGCAGCGACGGAGGATTTTACAAAGAAAGATAAGCTGATGGGCGTTTTAGAAGGTTTCTCCGTGGGCCCAGTGACGTTGGGTCTGAAGGAGCACCAACTAGAGGCAGAGTTGGGAGAGTCTCACGGTAACCTAGGTGAGTGATGAAGATCTCGTGACAATCATCAATTTTGATGTCCAGACACACCCTGGAGGGTCCTGGTCCAGGATCTGCCTTTGTCTGTGGGTCTCCACACAGACAAATAAACCTACTCGTCCAGATAAACCTACTCGTTTATCTGCATCCAGATAAACCTACTCGTTTTTTTTTTTAACCTACTCGTTTTTAATAAGCCTTATTCAGTCACATCATCAACTTAGATACCACTTCCTACAATTCATATGACTCCATACAAGTTAGAGAAAAGGCTTCCTAGTGAAGGCAAAAGTTGTCTCTATGTCGTGTCCCCTTATCTCTGGCCCTTATGTCTACCATCCTAATTTTGCTTGCCCAAACTCCTATCGGTGATCTTGCTCTGACTCTAGGACTCGAAGCCATGGAAAACTATTACGAAGAGAAAGGTGGGGATGTAACAAACTCCCCAAAGCTCTCATTGCTGGGAGACAGAGCCAGGACTAAGAACATAGGTCTCCCCATCCCCAGCCCGCCTCTCCCTGCACCACTGGACACAGACTGCTGCCTGCAGGGCCTCCAGATCTTCTGGGCTCCCACGGCATGGCCCCTCTTTGCCTTGTCAGAAGTGGCTTTTTGTGGGGAGAGGCAATATAGGCTTACACTGGAGCCTGTGATCCGAGTGTGACATCACGCAAATCTCCAACAATAAGATCCAGAGAATTAGCCATATTCTCTTGTTAGGTTTGACTGGAGCAACTTCTGTTTGGATCCAATAAGTTTCCCTTGGAATTCGAGGTTTCGGGGTGCTGGGATTTGTGGTAGCGTGATCAGCCCAGGCACAACGGGTCTTCTGCTTACTGTAGGTGCTTTGAGTGTGACTAACTTCTGATTAATTTTCTTTTCATTTATCACTGTTCTCAGAAAAGTAAGCCTTCATTCCTTTGTAAGAGAGAATTACTGATAATACAGAAAGGGGCGAGGATGATTGGTTCTTGTAATATTTATAAAGGTGTTTCCAATCAAATAAAAACGGTTGAGGAGATGTCTAGGAGGATATTTATAAAGAAGAGAACAGTGTTCTCGAGCACAAAAGCTTCAGAAGCACCTATCTGAAGCCAGATACCTAGCTGTCTGCTAAAACATGCTGGAGAAACACTTGCTTCGGTGCCCCAAACGCAGAGTGTCACACAGGAATTGTCAGCCCGCCTCCGGTTACCCTGTTCTGCCAACAAGCTTCGTCGAGTGCCTACAATGTGTCAGGAACTACGTCATGACCTACTAGAGAAAAGACATGGTCCCACCCAAAAGGAGTTCACAATCTGGTGGGAGTGTGCTTAGTACTCGAAAATAATAAAACTTGAGTTTCTTAAAAAAAAAAAAAAAGTTTCTGACTTCACTAATTCAACAGGTTTCCCTATTTTCTTGCTTGCCATTTCCCTATTTCTTACTTAAATTATGAGGTTGTCTGGTACCTACAGAAATTTAACATTCATTTATTAGTACAATAAATATTTGTTGAGCACCTAAGATATTCTAGGCAGAGCTCTAATAGCGAAGTAAAAAAAAAAAAAATCTCTGCCTTCCTGAAGTTTCCACGTTTAATTTTTTTCCCCACAGGTAAGAGATTTGCTATCTAGAACCAAGAAACCTGGAGGGCTAAAAGTGAGGGAAGATCAACAGCTGGGCTTTTATGTGGAGGGTCTGACGTCAGTGCCTTGCGAGAACTATGTGCAGATTGAAAGGCTGATGGAACAAGGGACAAAGATAAGGACCACGGCTTCGACCAGCATGAATGCCAGCAGCAGCAGGTCTCACATGGTCATCACCATTCAGTTCAAGCAGGTGAGGTTCAGCGAATGCCTCTGTCCTGCTCTCCCACCGAGGTGGCCCCTGGGCAAGGTTCCCATTAGCGTTGTGAGCTGGTGAGGGTTAGAGAATCCTTTCAGGTTCGACCTATGATGCTGGCGGCTACTTCCAACCACAGGCTGTAGGGTCGGGAGCAGGGGAGTGAGACACCTGATCTCGTCCTGCTTCCCCTATGTCGGTGTCCTACCCTGGTGCCCCGACACAATGATGTCCAGCCTTGGGATCCTAGGGGACCACCAGAGAACGAAGCACCTTTCCTGTGTTTGGAAGTACCAAAATAGAGTCCTCGAGACCAGGTAAGCCAGCCATACAGCTCTTCACGAACTTGAACCTTCGATACACTAGAGCGCACTTTTCTCCTCCATCCTCCTTGGTGGGTATCAGAGAGTGATGTCTATGATGTCACCGGTTTGACTCAGAAATGCTTACGGTTGGCCCTCCACATGGCAGGTTCAGCATCCTTGGAGTCAACCAACCACAGATGGAAAATATTTGCAAATAAATAGGTTATGTTGTTGCTGACATGCACTACGTAGCTAGGCCTACCATGGCCGTGTGAGTGCTGAACATGTACGGACTTTTTTCTTGTCATTATTCCCTACATAATACAGTAGAACCACTATGAACATAGCATTTACATTGCATTAAATATAAGTAATCCAGAGATGCTTTAAAGTCTATGTGGGGATGCGTGTAGGTTATATGCAAACGGTACGCCATTTTACATAAAAGACAAATGTCCACAGATTTTTGTATCCCTGGGGGGGTCCTGGAACCATCGCCCGTGGATACTGAGGGATGACTGTATTCACAAAGCCTGAGCGAGCACACGAGTTCGCTGTGATTTCCCACCTCTGTCCCCTAAGCCGCAGCACTAGGAACAGACAATGTCATAAATGAAGGTTGTCCCACCCTAACTGGGAATAGTGAAAAAACACTGGACCGTGTATGATTGTTGACCAGCTCTGGGAAATAACTTATGCTTCCTGAGTCCAGTTTCCTGTTCTGTAAGATAACATAAATAGCTCTCCTTACAGAAATGTTGGGAGGCTTAATGATACTGCGTTTTAAATAACTTTGTAGTCTACCACCATGCCACGCTGAACGAGCCTGATCCTGTCTCATCTCGGAAGCTAAGCAGGGTCGGGCCTAGTTAGTATTTGGATGGGAGACCACCTAGGAAGACCAGATGCTGTAGGTGTAAAAAAATAAAAAATAAGGGATCGTAAGCTGACAAGGTCCTTGCAATCTGTGAGGTCAACCAAGGGTTGCCTTGTCTAAAAATAAAATAAAGTAAAAGAACTTTGTAAATTTTTAAATACTATTCACTTGATTTTACAATCTTAGTAAAATTCACGAATTCATATTTGTTTTGCTCTATTTTTTTTTAAACTTGTACTTTAGAGGCAAGAGAGGAAAGAAGCTGAAAAAAATGAACAGAGAGGTCTAGCATCATACTGCTTATCGGAGGAATGACAACATTTGTCGCTGCATGCCAGGCGTGGTTAGAACCACCGCATCTATTATCTCCCCACCCCACCCTCCCAACGTCCCGAGAGTGCCGTTAACCCTGTTTCACTGCCGAGAAGTAGAAACTCTGAAAAGCGAAGTCATTTGCTCATAGTTGTGTGACCGGCCAGGGATAACATTCTCAAACCCACGTTCTTTCCACTACACGACCGAACCATGTGGACAGTTACTTAGTTTGCAGATTTCATGGTATTTTATGTTTAAAATATTTATTGAGCATAGAAATACTAGAGCAGTCATTGGTATCTAATGTATCATAGCTTTGTAGAACTGGGAAGGGGCGGCCGAGATATTTGGGCCTGGTAATGTCTTACCGGAAAATGTCATTGGAAAGAGGGTGGCGTTTTAATCTGTAAATTTTTTTATATCTTTTTTGAGGGTGAAATGTCATTAGAAAAAACTAATTTAAAATGTAAACTAACCATGTGCAATGACATGGATGGACCTAGAGGGTATTAGGCTGAGTGAAATAAGTCAGACAGAGAAAGATAAATACCATATGATTTCACTTATCTGCAGAATCTAAGGAACAAAAAGAACAAACTAATCAGAAACAGACTCGCAAATGCAGTGGACAATTTGGTGATGGACAGAGGGGAAGAGGTTTGGGGGGTTGGGAGAATGGGGTGAAGTGTTAAAGAAGTACAAATTAGTAAGTTGATAGCTGCACGGCACAGGGGATGCAGTTAGCTTTAATGTACTGGCTAAGTGGCGGGCCAGGGGGAGGGAGGGAGCAACAGGGGGATCATTTTAAGAACTATGTAGATGTCTAACCAATGTACTGTACACCTGAAACTAATTAAGATAAATAAAATGTAAACTAGATCAATTTCATGTGCGACCTGCGACTGTCCTGACCTTGTGACCTGTGGCCCCCCTGCAGGCATTTCCAGACAGAGGCCTCACCAAACAGTCCAGTATTAATTTGGTGGATTTGGCAGGAAGTGAAAGGCAGAAATCTTCAGGTTCCGAAGGAGACAGACTGAGAGAAGGATCACGAGTTAACTTAAGTTTGACCAACTTAGGAAATGTTATCAGGTAAATAGTCAACGGATAGGCATTTGTACCATAAAAATGGCCTCAGATACCAAAAATGGGGATAATCTTGGTTCATCACCGTTGTCACCAGTGCATGCCTGGTCCTTTTATATATTTTATTTTAAACTGATTGATTTTTAATAAAATGAATACTAATGAAACTGCCACCCAACCCACGAAATAGTCGGTATTGCTTTCCTGCGTTTCCCTGGAAGGTGACCGCCATCCTGAACTTTATGTTTACCCTCTGTCTGTCTCTCTCCTCTTTCTTTCATTGTCTTGTTTTATCACATGCGAATTCATTATTTGGTGGCACTCATTTTCGAACTTTATAAAAGTGTAATTTATTATATTGTCTTCTGGATCTCGCTTTTAAAAAGTTATTAAGGTATAAATGACATAAAGTGCTCAAACTTTAAGTGTGCAGTTTTAGTTTTGTAGACGTGTATATCTATGTCATTACCACCCCTATGAAGATACAGAGCATTTCCAAAACCCGGAGCTCCCTTATGCCCCCTCCTCGCTTTTACTCCCACTGAAATGAATTGACCTTTGTCACCAAAGATTAGTTCTGCCTAACTGATGTTATGGTTATGGTTTATAATTTGCATTTTTGTGTCTTAAGGAGATTAGAGTTAGAAAGATCTCTACCTACATTATACTTAAGTTCCTATGCATCTGGAGTTGATTTCCGGGTGTAGTATAAGGTAGGCATTCTTTACGGTACTTTTTCCTTATAGATGACCAGGTTTTCCAGTTACATTTGTTGAATAGTCCCTTTTTTCCCCAGCGATCTACTCTGTTACCTGTCATATGTCAGAATTTAATATGTGCTTAACGCATTCTTGGCTCTTTAATCCGTTCAGTTGGTCAAAATCTAAATACAATAGATATTTTATTTTCTTATCTGATAATACACAGATCCTCATCCTACTTATGCAATTGTTGATATGTAACTTAATCTTATTTTTCTTTAATCTCAAAAGGCTTTATTACTACTTTATACAGTGTTTATGCACAGTAATTCCCTCTATTATTCATTCCTTCTTAAATCTCGGAGCTGCTATCTAAGATCAATTTCTTTCTTTCTTCTTTGAGGATCATTTGTTGATGACAAACTCCCAGTTTTCTTTTCTAAATCTGCTAGATTCTTTAGATTTCTTTTCTGTGACGATTTCTCACAGATGGGAGTGCCTCCCTCCCCCATCCCCACTCTCTTCAATGCCAGCACTGCCTCCTCTATAGTCCCCTAAAGCAGGGGTCCCCCACGCCTCGGGCCGCAGACTGGTACTGGCCCATGGCCTGTTAGGAACCTAGGAACCAGGCTGCACAGCAGGAGGTGAGTGGCAGGCGAGAGAGGGAAGCTTCATCTGTATCTGCAGCCGCTCCCCAGCACTAGCATCACCGCCTCAGCTCCGCCTCAGATCACAGGGCATTAAATTCTTATAGGAGCTCTGGTCTCTGGTGCCAAAAAGGTTGGGGACCGCTGCAGAGCAGGGTGCGGACTGAGACATTCGCTTCTCACTCACTCTTACTCTGGTGCTGTAGTCATACTGGCTGTTCCCAAGGCAATGTGACAGACAGGGAGAAGGGCTGACCCCACCCCCATACCCATCCGCACACTGCCCACCCCACACGCTCTTCATCAGACCCTAACCCTTCTCTACACGCAGATTCACCATAGCCCGCGGGCTCACGGGGTTTTCCTGCAGGTTTGGGGCGGGGCTGCTTCCTCAGTCTGGGTTTCCTCCGGGTTGACAGGGCAGAGGGAGCCAGCGGCCTGTGCTGCTTAGCTAACTTGCTTCAGCATCTTTGCACGGAAGGCGTCCTGATGATTGGATATGATTTAGAGTCATGTCTCAGATCTATGGGGTCCAAGAGGGGACTTGAGGGGTGCTCCTGACCTAGCCCCAAGGAGGCAGAGGGCTTCCTGAAACATTCTTTTAATTTAATTGGCTGTTTGTGTGTGTGTGTTTTTTTTTCCAGTGCTCTGGCCGACGCAGCCATGGGGAAGAAAGTCTTGCATGTTCCCTACAGAGATTCTGTTTTGACCAAACTGCTGCAGTCTGCCCTGGGCGGGAACAGCAGAACCACTTTGGTAAAATGGCTTTCTTATAAGCTCTTGGGCCCATTCGGCTATTATTATTATTGTCATTATTATTAAAACCATTCTCCACGTACCACTAAAATAGCTCTTTGCGTTTACATAGCACATTCTTACTTACTGCCTCATGACTCCTGGAGTTCGTTCTACTGTGGTGTTCAAAGAAACTTTCTACGTTGCTAATTTTGCTTTTTAATTTATTCTTTTCTGTAGTTTTCAGGTTCTCTACAAGGAACATGTATTACTTTTATTATCAGGAAAAAACTAATAGTTTTAAAAAATAACAGTTATGTTCTAAATCAGCAGTTATTTCATGGCAAGTCTAGAAATCAGTTTGACTGTTAGATGCCAGGCAGATGCTCACTCTGCAGAGCAGCTGAATCATGTCACCTCAGCAAAGACTCCAGACTCTCATTACTGAATGTTGGCCAAGTGGGTAAAATCTGGGACCTCCTAGAATTAGAGCTCTTTGCTCTTCAGCTTTGGGTGCAGGAAGAGATAAAACCAGGCAAAGTCTTACCTCTACCCTTGTGCCGGCCTCCGGTCTGCTGCCCCGGACAGAAGTGCTCACTGCAGGGGCCTGTTACACACGCTTCTCTCCAGACACAGCCCTACTTTTTTATCATTTAATCTCGCCTATTTTGAAGTATTTTCTTTTAAAAATTTTCTGCTTGTCAGTACCTGTCGGCCTCAATGGGACATTCCCCAAGAACCCAAAATAAAAGCGGCCCATAGATGCCCTCCGATCAGAGGCTACAGAATCTAACGGGTCTGAGCAGGTGTGTGCATCACCCATCACCTGAGAGGGATGACCTCCAGATCTGTGGACAAGGCCCTTAATAAAAATGCTGTGGTGGGCAGGAGGTCGAGGTGGTCATTGGTCATCTCAGGAGGCAAATAAAAAAGAAATTGCAAAGCCGACGTCCAAACTCTAGAGTTTCTATGGCGCCAACCCCAGTTCCAGCATATTTACCTTAAAATCTCATTTTCTTTATTTCTAAAGTAGACATAACAACATCCACTTGAAAATAGACAGTTCCCAGCTTACAATAGTTCGATCTAACAATTTTTCAACTTTTAAGATGGTGCGAAAGCAATACGCATTAAGTAGAAACCATACCTCAAATTATGACCCTCGATCCTTTCCCAGGCTAGTGATCTGTGGCAGATCATTAGTATATTCTCTTGGGCGGCTGGGCGGCGAGCCACAGCTCTGTCAGCCAAGAGATCACAGGATCAACGACCGGTACTCTTTACAGTAGGCTGTTTTGCCAGCGTTTTTTGGATGTTGTGTTTTGTTTTCACACCCTCTCGTGTCTACAAAACACCCATGTGTCTCCCGCTTCTGGTGGGAAGAGGAGGAGGAAGGCGTTTACTCTTGAGATGAGACTCAAGATAACTGCCCAGCGGTAGGCTAATGTGAGTGACCTGAGCATGTGTAACGTCGGCAAGGAGAAGCTAGGCGTTCGGTTGGTTAGGTGTATTAACTGCATTTTTGACTTACGATATTTTCAACTTACGATGGGGTTATGGGGATGTAACCCCATCGCAAGTTGAGGAACATCTGTTTTGCTGTGGTGATTAAGTAAGCTGATATGAAGGGACAAGTTTTGAAAGCTGCAAAGCTAAACAAAGATACAGGATTTTTCACCAGACTCCTGTGCCACCACGTAGGCAGTGACATTCCCTCCTGTTCACCCTCGTGGGCCTGCCCACCTCCACCTGATCAAAAGGTTTGTTTTCTCACTCAAATGCTAGGCAATTAATCCAAAGTTGATAGCCAGACTTGAGACTGTACGAGTGGCTCCCGGGTCATAAACGAGTTTTACTGGTCTCTGCACTGCCAACATTCAACTGTCATTTAAGCCCTGAGCAAGTCCGCTGGGGACTCAGTGCTGAGGGCAGGGGGCTGTGAGGTCTGCGGCACAGGTGTTCCAGGTAGTTGGGGCCGGTTCAAGCCCCAGCTCTGCCAGTTATCATCTGGGTGACCTTGGGCATGTTATTTTTCTCTCAGCCTCAGTTTTCTGAGTTGTAAAGTTTGAATAATATTGTAAATTACAAGATGTTCTACGAATGTCAGCTGTATAAGATCAACAATAAACCCCTACGTAAAAAATGAAAACTAAAAGGGATATTTCTTACAGATCGCGGCCATAAGTCCAGCTGACATCTGCTACGAGGAAACTTTATCGACATTAAGATATGCTGAAAGGTACATTTATGAAAACTTCTTATCTGTAGGGTTCTGAGATCTAGATCTGGCAAACTCTTCCAGTGCCCTTGGTACAGGTGGCGTTGGGGGAATGGGTCCAGGAGAAGGCAGAACGGAATGATTCACGAGAGAGAGGAAATGAAACAGAGGAGACAGAATTGGCAACTCAGGGCCCCCTGTGCCCCCCATTGTCACTCCAGTTCTGGGTGGGGGAAGAGCTGTGGGCTCAGACCAGCGGGAGGAACATGGTGCCAGTCCTAATGGGGTTGGGTGCCTGTCTCCCTACAGGTTCCGCCAAGTAGCACAGCCATCCACAGATTCCTCCGTTTGACACATGGGACAGTAGGGAACAGTGGCAGGCAGGGGGTTTCTATACCAAGAATAGGTGAAGACGACCATGTAAGAGGCAACTTCCAAGGCTGGCGACCAGCCGCCAGCTCTGCAGCTTTCCCTGTGTTGGTTCTGATTTCCCCAGGCCCCAAATGCAGACCAGACCCTTTGGAGGAGGCCCATAGGTCACAGGTCTCTCTTCCTGGGGAGGGGCTGTCACTGCCAGGTCCCTTCCTGGCTGACTGGCCTGGGAAACAGGCCCACAGAGTTAGCCTTGGCCGGAGGCTGTGGCCGAGCCACTTCCTGCTTTCTAAGGCAGGCACCTGGTCCCCACCTCTCCTGACCCTTGTAAGAAAGAGGAGGGGAAGGAGCCTCTGACCAGAGGCCAAATCCCCTGTAGCCACCACGCCTCCTTCCCTGTCCACGCAGCAGACATTGAGAACCCGCCCTGCAGCACCCTATCGGGTCCAGATGGGGACTTGGAATTCTCGGGCCTGTGTGCCAGGCAGCTGGAGCTGGCTTGTGAAATGAAACTTACTGGCCTACTCTGTCACTCATCAGCTCTACAGGCTGGCGCGTGAGACAGAACCTGGCCCCATCAGCTATGGGACCTGAACCTCCCGGCCCATTACCTCGCCCAGTGAATGGGGCAAGGGACCATACATGAACCATTCCTGGCAAAGTTCTGCCCAACGTGGTTGATGCTCAAAAAACATTAGTTATTATGCCACCAATTATGCGCTCCCCCCCACCCGGTGTTTCCTTTGGCCCTCTGCTTGGAGAAGGAGCCCCCTGCATTTTATTGACAAATATGTGCATTCTCCTTTACCGTGCAGCCTCAGTATTATTTTACTCAATTAAATGTCTCCTCCCAGCACTGGCACCACAAAATAAGCACTTTAGGTCAAATTCTGTCTTTCGTAATATCAAGAACGCTCGTTTTCTCTCCGCTTATCAAATGCAAATCTCTTGTTGGCCGTCTTTACCTGAGAGACTGCGTGTTGCAGAGGAAAGAGAAGATGGTACCCAGAAGTCCTGGGCTCCAGTCCCAGATCTGACACCGACTGTGTGACTTGGGGCAAGTTCATAAACACTCCGGTTCTCAGTGAAAGGAGTCAGGTTGCCAGATTTGCAAATAAAAATACAGGGTGCCTAGTTAAACGTGAATTTTAGATAAACAGCCAGTAATGTTTCAGCATAGGGGTGGCCTGTGCAATATTTGGGGGCATCCCATATTTTCTCTGGCAGCACTAGACAGGAGTGAACTTGATAACCTCTAACCCTCCCTTAGCCTGGTGCACTCGGCAGAGCAGTCGCTGACGCCCCAGGGTCTGAGTTACTACAGTAGCTGCAGCGATTGAACAGATTCTTTTCATTCACTGAGCCCAATTGGCTGAGCGTGTTGAGAGCCCAGGACAGGTCAGGGGCTGGGCCCTGGCTGAGCGACTTGTGTTTATCTGAACCACTGAAGTCCCTTAAAGGTTTACTGGAGCCTCACAGGGTGGAACCTGGAATTGCTTCGGGGTGAAAGGTTCCCACTTGGACTGTTTGAGACTAGAGCAGGCCCAGCTTCCGGCTAGCGCTCCAATGGAGCTGTCCCCACTGCAGGGGCTTCCAGGCCCGAGTGCGTGTCCCTCTCTGCACATAACAGGGCTAAAAAGATCCGGAAC